GCACTCTCCGGCACTCTCCGGCACTCTTCGGCACTCTGCGGCAACTCTCCGGCACTCTCTGACAACTCTACGGCACTCTCCGGCATTCTCCGGCACTCTCCGGCACTCTCCGGCACTCTCCGGCACACTGCGGCAACTCTCCTGCACTCTCTGACACTATGCGGCAACTCTCCGGCACTCTCCCGCACTCTGCGGCAACTCTCCGGCACTCTCCGGCACACTGCGGCAACTCTCCGGCACTCTCCGGCACACTGCGGCAGCTCTCCCGCACTCTCCGACACTATGCGGCAACTCCCCGGCACTCTACTGCACTTAACACACGCAACGGCACTGTACGGCCTTCGATAAGGTTCGAAAACACTTGAAAAACGCGTGAGAACGATCGATAACTCTCGACAACGCTCGAAAATGCTGTGAAAATGACCGAGAAACGCTCGAAATACGATGGATAACGCTCGAAAACGCTTAACAAACGCTCCATAACGCTCGAAAACGCTCCATAACGCTCCAAAAGTCTCTAAAAGCACTCGAAAATGGTTGGAAAACGCTCGAAAACGTTCAAAAACGGTCAAAAAACGCTCGATAACGCTCGAAAACGCTTGAAACCGCTCGAAAAATGCTCGAAAACTCTCGAAGATGCTCGATAACGCTCGATAACGCTGGTAGGGAAATGTAAAAATCATACGCGAAATCACTCGGCTTATATCCGGGGTTAGGTAAGCCTCGGGAGGATGTTTCGCAGTATTCGACTCTCACGCATACTCGTCGAACGCACACATGCTCAACGTCTCGACCCGTAGCTTGGCGCTTGGCTGGTTGGGACGCGCGAAGATTTCTAGGAGCGATCGCACTCACACAGATTTGTTGCATGAGGGTTCCGTACGCGACACGGACGCGTGCCCCAAAGCTCCGCATCACGTCGACTTCGAGGCAACAATGTACTTAATTGTAGTAGATAAGTAGATAAAGTCAAATGGAGCGTCACGAGTGTTCTTCCCTTACCATTAAAAGCGAGCAATGCCGGTAAGCGTAGGTAAACCACCACCATCAACTGCCGCATGGTATTACAATCACGAGTACGTGAGCCGCCAACGGTGACTGGCAGATGGTACCACCATCGCGAGTGCGCGGGCTCCTATCAGAAATTCGTTGCGCCGCCCTTGGGGGCAAAAAACGGTGAAAGCTAACGTACGAAACCAGAGGGCAGCACAGGATGCGATCACACGATCCTGCCCGTGAGCAAACTCCCAACTCATCTCTGTCCTAAATTACCGTAACATCTTGGTTATATTTCTCGAACTGAAATTCTCGAAAATTCAAAAACACTTGTTACCAAAGTTACATCGTAGCAACTTTTCCTCTAATACTTTCGGTACATGCGCAGAAGTAGCATTGGGTGCAGTTAGCATGAAGGTAGTATATACGTACTAGCAGATAGTGGGGTTTGTGATGTTACGATATATAAACTGTATGAAATGAGTTTTGTAGACACATTGATTTTTCTTCATTCACATAAGATCGTGCTGAAGTTAATACTACTGTGTAATGAAGAATATTAATTTCTGTTTTACATGTGAACCTATAGTTTCTGTCACGTTGATACAAAAGTAACCTAACTTATTTTAAAAAGTGACATTGTGCTTTAACTCATCAATGTCAATCATGGCTAACAACAACACAGACGGAAAACAGTAAGCAATACAGCTTTAATGTACTTTATTAGTATTTTGAAATGCATTATTTTAAACGTAATGATATATTTTTAGGTATGGCTTGATATTACCAAAGAAAACGCAACTTTCAGTTCCAAAAGCTGGCAATGTTTTTGGTAACAATAGTGACTCAGATGGAGAAGAAGGTACAGATTGGGTGAGAAAGGCACTTAAGGCAGAAAATAAGAGAAATACAGTTAAAAAGCAAGTACAACTTTCCATGGAAAAAGCCTTGAAAGAGAATCCAACAATTTACCAATACGATGAGGTATATGATGAAATGGAACGTACTAAGGTGGAAGGAAAAGCTACCACGGTAGAAAAAAAGAAACCAAAATATATTGAAAATCTTTTGAAAGCTGCTGAGCGTAGGAAGAGAGAACAAGAACACAGAATTGAGAGAATGGTACATAAAGAACGTGAGGCAGAAGGAGCTATGTATGCAGATAAGGAAAGTTTTGTTACCTCAGCGTACAGAGCAAAGTTAGAAGAATTCAAAAAAATGGAAGAAGAGGAATCACGTATGGATCGATTAGAAGCCATTGGAGATGTTACTAAACAGCAAGATATATCAGGATTTTATAGGCACTTATATCATCAGACTATAGAAACTGACAAAACCGATGTTACGAAGGAAAAAGAGATTACAAAAGAAGTAAACACTAGTGAACCAGAAGATACAAAGAGTACAGAGAACAAACAAATAAGATCACATTCCCCTACAAATGAACTTATTAATGAAAACAAAATAGAAACTACACCTGAAGCCAATAAGAAATTAAAGGCTAAGAAAACTAGGCACTATAGAAAGCGAGTACACGAAGAAAATGAATCAGACAGTGACCACAATGAAAATACAGATGTAAATAATGCAATGCCTGATAAAAAAGATGATATAAATCACAGCCCATCAAAATACCAAACAGATGATTCTTTAAATAAAAAGACAAAATTATCTTCAACAAATGATGCAGCGGTGATATTTGAAGACAACCAAGAAGCACCAGATAATAACAAAATTACAGTTGATTCCAACTGCCTTAAAAATCTAGAAATAAATATCGATGAAGAAAAGGAAAATAATGAAAAAACTCCAAATTCAACTAATAAAGAAGAACAAAAGGTCAAAGTCTCTATCTGGGAAAAACGAACTGTCGGACCTATCTTTGAGGCTGCACTTGAAAGATACCATATACGAAAAACGTTAAAATTGGGTCAAACATTATTATTATTAAATCAACGAGGCAGCCATTAAGATGTAAACCATTCAAACTCCAGATCTGTTGTGCAACAACCTTAAACAGCAAGTTCTCAGATGACTTACATCCAAGCTCTGCCACAACTGTAGGATTCTAATTATTGGTGCGTCTTTAACCATAGAGATGGTTAAGGTGGTAATGTCGAAGTCCTATTTGACCCATGAAATCATTGATAATTTGTAGAGAAATTTTTTCGTTCGTGTCATATTTTTAGAGGGCATAGGAGACTAATCTTAGAGGAATTACAACTGTAGATATTGACGTCAAAAAGTTTACTTGTAAATCCGTCCTGATGGAATCATCTGTACATGTTTCTTTTGATGTTGGAATTGGCTATGATCATCATCTCAGGGCAATATCATTTTCCTCGGTCAATTTGGAAAGTGCATCCCTATACTACTCAACTTCAATGGCATCTTTAAAGAGGTCAATGCCGTCAGGGGGGCTCTGCTGTCAGAGCATGTCACTACTAATCTGCTGACTTCCTCAACTTAGGAAAATATTATCCAGTTCTGCTGACTGGTTAAGGCTGAGTAACTAAATCACTCTTTTAACTTTATTTTGGCCTACAATTCATCAGCCAAAACCCATTGGTTGCAAGAACTGACTCTCTTTTATATAAGCCAGGTGTAATTTTCCCCTCAAATTCAATTTGTGCTTTCAATTCTTTTTTTTAGTCCTGTCCTGAGATGTGTTTGTCATTTTTCTGTACATTTATTGTATCTTTGACCTCTATTCTGTAAATTCAAAATTTGTTAATAAATACGTTCCTTAATTAGAACTTCACCTTACCGTTTAACGAAAGTATCAAGCAGGATGGATTACTTCTAGAGCGCTAAAAATATTATAAAACTAAATATACATTTTATTTTTTACTTCTTTAATAAAATTATGGAATACTTTATTTAAGTATAAAATGTTGTTTTTGGTCATGTCTAGAAAAACTGAGAAATCATGGCACATATTGATTTTATCGTGGATGTTGTGTGGGAAGAGCTATGACGTTGGCAGGCCTTAACACAAATCAGTTGAGAGAATTACAGGGTCTTTTCTTGCGAAGAATTATCCCATTTGATTACGTCGTATTTTTCCAGTAACTTTACAAAAGAAAATTAGAAGACAGAGCTATTTTTAACAAGGCTTATGGTTCAAAAATGAAATCGTGAACTTTTAAAGATTTAAATGTGTGTACAATATGTGCACATTAGTACAAAATAAAAATGAATTTTATTCAGTGACATGATTAATGTTCATAAATTTAAGTCTACAGAAATGACTATACATCATTAACAATGATTAACTATAGCAGAAAATTGCTTTCTAATCTACTACTCTACTTGGCTGAACTCATGCATCGTACAATTTATAGATAAATGTTAATGATGTTTATTTTATGTATTTATAATCCGATTTTTTAAAACGAAACAAGTTTTACAACAGTTTTTTTGTGAGTGCAGTGTCCCACAGTATGCGTGCAAATCACACACAGCGTTTCTTTATCGAAATTCGAATATCGTTTTTTAACTACAATTTTTATCCAGATCAAAGCAATCAGTGCTTTAAAATTGAAGGTGAACCGTAATTTTACTGACGTGGTAAAATTACCGTGAATTACCGTGAAAACACGTGATTCATATCAAACAGTACCATTGGCTACCGAACGATTGGGGTAGAGAGAAAACAAGGAAGTGAGGTTAGGTCTGATTAGTCTCCCCCCACCATCGTTCGCGTGCGGACGTCATCTGATACCCAACAGCACCTAACATCTGCGACATCTGCGAGGATTCACGGACTTCGTAGCGGAGATCCGAGGCAATCGTTGAATGTTCTGCTAAAAGGGCATTTGTACATTCCCTACTATCCTTTCTCATAGTGTTTACGTCACAGTGTCACGCAAAAATGTGGTCCTCCACGGGAAGTACCGTCTACTTCCTCGCGTTCCTGGCCCTCGTCAGCAGCTACAGCCTCAGGTCGACAGAAAAAGTAAACGAGGACTTCATCACACCACATTACTCACATTATGAAGAACTCCAAAATCTTTTCAACGAGTTGGTTGAGAAGTACTCAAATCTAGCAAAAATACATTCCATTGGAAAGTCCGTTGAAGATAAAGATCTTCTCGTCTTGGAGATCTCAGAGAACGTAAATAAGAGAGCTCTAGGTGAACCAATGGTAAAGTATGTAGCAAACATGCATGGCGATGAAGCTGTTGGTAGACAGCTTCTTGTGTTCTTGGCACAGTACTTTTTACATAATTATGGGATCAATGAGAGGATAACGAGGCTGGTTAACAATACTGATATTTACTTAATGCCATCGCTGAATCCAGATGGCTTTGAAAAATCCCAGGTAATTCTAACATATTGCATTACAGGATCGAAGAAGTAAATTGTTAATGTATTTTAATTTCTTTTGTATTCTAGGAAAGATCTTGCGAGTCAAAGAAAGGTTTCCTAGGAAGAGAAAATGCAAATCATGTTGATTTGAATCGAGATTTTCCAGATGAATTTCAAAAAGTAGATAATAAATCAGGTAGAGAAAGTAATATAGTTGACGGAAGGCAGAAGGAAACGGTTGCTATGATGACATGGATTGCTAGTGAACCCTTTGTTCTTTCTGGAAATCTTCACGGTGGTGCCGTTGTTGCTAGTTATCCATATGATTCAGGGTAAAATATATTTCTCACGGTTGAAGTATTCGGGAACAATAAATACAAATTAAGAATAAAAGTATATTCTCATTATCACTACAATTTAACTGTTCATCTCTGTTTTTTTCTACTGACAGAATATCAGATGTTTGTTGCATTGAAAGTAAATCACCAGATGATAGATTATTTCGACACTTAGCTCATTCCTATGCAGACAATAATCCAGAAATGAAGAAAGGTAACACTTGCCCACCAGATGATTTCCCAGGTGGAGTTACAAATGGTGCTTATTGGTAAGTATTTATGTATTTGCCTCAGAAAGCAAGTTTGTAATTTAATATGTTTGTTTTATTAAACTGAACATATTTATTACTCTTATAGGTATGAGATCCAAGGAGGCATGCAAGATTTTAATTATTTTCACTCTAATGCATTTGAAGTCACATTAGAATTAAGCTGTTGTAAATATCCATCAGCTTCAAAAATGCCAGAATTTTGGCAACTTAATAAAGAATCTCTTATCACGTATCTTGAACAAGTTCATATTGGAATTAAAGGTAGATGAATGTGTAGTTAAACTTGTATTAATATTGCTACATTTTATTTGGACTATTCATTTTGTTATTTCTCTTTGCAGGCCTTGTAACAGATATTCATGACCAACCAATCGAAGGTGCTGAAATTGTCATTGCAGGAATAAATCATAATGTAATAACTACAAATCGTGGTGAATATTGGCGTTTACTAGTCCCTGGTACTTATAACGTTTATGTCACTGCATGGGGGTAAGTTTCCAGTGCTGGACTTAATTTCTCTTATCTTTAGTACTTAAGAATTCTAATCACATTTTATTATTCCATGAAATACAATTATTTTATTGTGTTACCTACTATCATGAACCTAGTTTCTATGAGATTTACATCATAATTGTTAAATAATCTATATTTGCTTACATCTTACTACAAAGACAATAAAACAGAAAATAATGTTACTCAATTATGTTTGAATTATTTAAATGTTTAGCTACCAACGAAGCGATGTAATGAATGTAACGATAAGAGAGGGTGAGCCGCCTGTAATCGTAAATTTTACAATGAAGCCAGAACCTATCAACAAACAAGGTAAACTGGATAAAGAAATTTTACATGAGGCACAGTATCTACCACGCTTGTCTCCATTACGCCTAACAACGGTCTTACTACGTGACAGAAGATATCAACATACACTAATTTAAAAATAATGCTTTTGCTTGGATATCGTTTTATTTTTCTGTACAGCTATTCGGTTATTATTTTGAAATATTTTATTTTAAATTCCGTATAATAATCTATGTCATGTGGTAAACCAATAGCCAAAGCCAATTCAGTATAAGACAATCCTTATTTATTTCCTTCTTTTTTGCAGCTCACATGCGGTAGTTTCATATTTAAATGAACATGCATAGTTGACAAAGTATAATGTCTGCAGACTATTTCATGTTTTTTGGTTTTCGCCCCATTTGTCTTATTGTTTCAATTGCTGTACAGAGGCTAATCGATTAATTGATTAGGTTTTTAACGTGATTTTTTTTTTTTAATACGCACAAGGTATAGAGAAATTGAAATGATTAAAACTTTTCCCAGTGGAACAAAGGAAGAACAAATAAAAAATAGTAGCGAGTGAACTAGGGTACATATTATATAAAAGTCTAAAAACAAACAGGTAGAATACTCGTAGAAGAAAAGTACTCATTAAATACACTGTAAATGTGTATATGGTAAACTATTTAAAACATGCCACCTAAATGTTTTTATGCATATGCAAGGTTCTTTAACAGAAATTCTACGACACTTATTGAATGATCAAATATTTGATTATCCATACAAATGAAACCAACGTTATAGTTAGCAATCACATATTATCAATTTTAAATCGTCTTATACTGTACATTGTTATAAGAAGGAAAATAATATTTTTTTTCCTCATTGAAAAAGACATCCCTTTTAATGTCAAACAACTTTTTTTTAAAGGCATTTATTTATCTACATATGTGGTTTGTTTTAAATGATCCACTCGGTATGTGTACGTTTGTGTCAATAAGATCTAATATTATTAAAAATGTCTCTACACATATCTCTATGTGAATGTTATAGACAATTGAATGAGATAAAAATCTTTAGAGAGGCTTTCTAAATTCGAGTCTTTCATTGTCATTTTTTTAATGAATTAATGGAGTTTTGTGTTTCGATGGGCAAAAGATACATGTCTACTTGAAAACGGATATTATTTCTGAATTTTATTACTCTTATTATTTTGTTACTCTATAAATTATCAACTTGGACTGAAAATGAAGTTTATTATTATTGTAAGTTCTTAACTGTTCTAAGTAAAACAACTTACACATATTTTATATGTAGCTGATATAGCTTATACATATTTTTAAGCTGTCACTTCATACATATGGTTTTATTTGGTTTTTCGTGTATAGTAAAAGCATGAGTGATACTTTTTCATTTAAACTCAAATCTCTTGTAAAGGTTAAGAATATACAAGAATATATTAATTCTTCTCAATGATTGTTCCTATTGTACTGTCCATCGCTCTTCAGAAGTTCAGCAAGAAACAGAACCACAGGGGATCCGTACTTAGAACAAGTTACAAGCGCCCTAATTCTATGTATCCTCGTGTGTGTTCTGTAAAAATGGAAAGTATGTAATGTACACTGTCGATAATAAAATATTGTATTAACTGTATACACAAAGTACATTTATTAAGTAACTTTTACCAGCCACTTCCTTCGTTCCCTGTACAAATAAATTGCCCATGTGAAAATATTTTTTTTCTTTACTTTTTTCTCTGTGCCTTGTGTTTCGCCTTTTCAACTGAAACAATGATGCGTAAATGTGTAAAATAATGCTTTAAAGTTGGTGATCATATTACTTTAGAAGAAAAAAAAAACAGATTATAGTGGTAAGTCATTTAAAGACACGTTTGAATTTACAAAGCAACTGCGAGGCAATGACTGTCGAAAACCTGTGGTTCAAATTTAGTGGAAGATACTTCTTATTAATTAATTCTTATAAATCTTAAAGATTGTGAAGACTTTCTTATATTTTCATGTAAAGAGAAATTATTATTTTCTTTAAAAAAAAAGAACTCTGGTACGTTTTCTCGAATATCTCATGCTTTAATTTTCAATTAATATTACATATTCTACCCCTTTTCCGACATCAATAAAATGTTAACACCACTTCATTGTGCGTTAGATGCTAATCCATGAACAAAAGTTTAGAGTGCAGATATATCTAGATAAAATAAAAAACCAGCCATGTAGAGGCTGTGATATCGATTTCCTTATTTCATCAAACTGATTAAAGTCTCTTATCCATAGCAAGTGATGGGGCCTCAGAAGTTGAAATATTAACGAGATCAGTAGACGAATATGGTTTCCTACGTTCGACGAATTTTGAGCATCACAATTATACCTCGATGAAAAAATTCTTGGAGGACCTCAATAGATCCTATCCAGATATAACTCGGTTATACAGCATTGGTGAGTCGGTCCAGGGCCGCCAGCTGTACGTTATGGAGATAACGAAAAATCCTGGAATACATAATGCTTCTAAACCGGAGGTCAAGTATGTCGGCAATATGCATGGAAACGAGGTCGTTGGTCGAGAAGTCCTGTTATTGCTGCTCAAGTATCTTTGCGAGAATTATGGAACCGACTTACGGGCCACTAGAATAGTGGACACAATAAGGCTTCACATTCTACCGAGCATGAATCCTGATGGTTACGAGATATCTAAAGTCGGCGATGCTTCCGGTATCCGAGGACGAGCCAACGCTAAAGGGATGGATCTTAATAGGAACTTTCCGGATCAATATGTCGTGACCAAAGTAAGTTCATCAAGATATATTTCTTACCACATAAATATCCCTTTCTCTAAGTATCTGAAGTAATATTTAATTCCATAATCCTTGGATATTTAAACAACATCTTTGACGAATCACAACATTATAGGATAATAAATATCAAGAGCCTGAAACTAGAGCTGTGATGCAGTGGATCCAACAAGTTCCCTTCGTACTCTCGGCGAATTTGCACGGCGGCGCTTTAGTAGCAAATTATCCATACGATGATAATCCGGATCAGATAGAAAGCTCACCGAATCTTAGTCCAGATAACGACGTCTTCAAAATGCTCGCAATGACTTATTCAAACGCGCATCCTCGCATGCATCTTGGTGAACCCTGCAGCCCGCCTCCAGGTTCACCCTCGCTTGACAAAAATTTTCTCAACGAACGATTCCCTAATGGCATCACTAATGGAGCAGCCTGGTACTCTGTACCTGGTGGTATGCAAGATTACAATTACGTACACAGCAACGACTTCGAGATTACCCTGGAATTAGGCTGCATTAAGTACCCATTCCCTGAACAGTTACCGATATATTGGGAAGAGAACAAGGAACCGCTCTTGTCTTTCATTGAAAAGGTAAGTATATTAATGTTTTGTGTACTCGTTACAAATTTTAGGAACGTGATTCTATTTCGTATACTGGTAGGCTCGCAAGGGTATCCATGGTTCTGTTCGATCATCCATTGGCAGTGCGATATCTGGTGCGCGAATCCATGTGGAAGGAATCGATCACGACGTTTTCTCTGCAAAAGATGGAAGCTACTGGCGTATTCTCGTTCCCGGAACTTATAATGTCACTGTAAGCGCTGCAGGATACGAATCGGTTACTCAAAATGTGACAGTTCCACCTCCGAGTCAACAATTGGAAGGTGAAGTAACTTTGGATTTCACCATGATGCGAGACGACCCCGAACACTGGTATGTCATTCGATCGGAATATTCTTCCTTAATAGAACTTGCCATTTCAACTAGGTATTCCAAGTGATTCTAATTTTACATGATATCTTTGAAATGTCGGTCTTGCCTTCCAACTATCACAAATGATTTTGCACGTACATGCCACACAAATAGCAATTTGATAAATGGTTGTAACAGCTTAAAAACAATACAACTGGACTCGCATTGACCAAGTAATGTATGTAATTATCGTAGGGAATAAATATTTTGTCGTATCTATCTGGTGTGCATTAATAATTTTTGCAGGAAATTGAAAATGGATTTTATAGTAGTTTTGTTATTGATTAAATTTAGCGGATATCGCATAATTCACAATGCAAGGAGTGAAATGGAAGATTTCGCTATTTTGTACATTACTAAAGTTTTAAGCTCTCATTGTTAAAATGACATATGGTTTTAAATATCACTAACAACAATTTTAACATATTAATGTATACGTGCCCACCATTAATATTTTTAGAAAATAAAAATGTGTTTCTGTACAGGTCGTCTGCGTATGATTTTCGTATAATAGATAATTTAAAAAATGGTTACCTAAAAAATGCCGAACTAAGTGCCAAACTCGGGCAATTAGAAAACCGTCAGCCAGATACCGCAGAATTTAATGCAGGAGACTCGATGGTTAGCATGGCCATTCATTCGCTGAAAGTCACACATGACGTAAGTTCCTCACTAGTACGTAAAATAACTATTTATTCTTGAAAGTATTTTTTCAAGCAAAGTGAGGCATCTTAATTTTTACAAGTTTTTAATAATTCTATACTTGCATAGGACATAATTATAAGTGTCTATTAAATGAATTGCAGATGGGTGCTCCGGAAGAGAACAAACTTCACATTGCTTTAATTGGCGGATTATTTGCCTCTCAACCTGCTGGTAGAGAGATTCTTCTACGTTTAGCTACACATATATTGAAGGGCAATCTAATTGGGCATCCTCCTATCATGAAGTTACTGGACAATGCTGTTTTACATTTTATACCAGGAGTAGATCCAGGCTTTGACAACGTGGCAGATGACTGTAATCCTATAGTTCACGAGGAAGTTGGTCAAAGATTGTTAGCAACAAAGAAGGGAGAACTTCGAGAAATGGATGCAGTTACGAGTGCATTTAAAGAATTGTTACGCGTCGAAAATTACGATGCAATCATAACATTAAGCGGAGGTGCTAAACAAGTCAGGTAATTTAAATCTTTTGCTATTGTCACCATTCTGAGCGTTGATATTTCGGAAATAGTACAAATTTCTTCTTAATGACTCACATTATTCCATGCAGTTGTGCGGACAATGAATTGAATACTTATAAAGTTTTGGCTGAAAAATATAAATCTGTAATACATCGAGAATCCTGTGAGCCTCAAGATAATGGTATGACTGCCGTCCAAAATTACATTCAAAATAAATACGATATTCCAGTGGTATGTATATATTTTAAATGATCAACATATTCCACATTTAATTAAAAACAATATGTAAATATTTTTCTATGATGACTACTTTAAGACTGTATCCCCGAAATTTTTAATCTCACAGATAAATATAGCCATGTCATGCTGCAAATATCCTTCATCTGAATCAATTCCACTCATTTGGAGAGAAAATTTACAACCTTTAATGGAACTTCTCGAAGACCTGGTCACAGGAGTTCGAGGGATGGTAACGGATGAATTAGGGACACCTCTTCGAGAAGCAGTCGTACGAATTGGTTCGCATGTGCATCAGTTGACTCAAAACATGGCATACTTTAAAATAACTTTAATTCCTAACAATTACACGCTAGCGTTTTCTTGTAAAGGATATGTCCCCAAGACGTTAATAGTTCAAGTCAAAGAAAAAGAATTAATAGATCTAGATGTGAAATTGCAGAAGTCATCAGGCTTGCAAGAGGAGACTAACAATTATGACGAACAGACCACGAAAATACGAGCAGCTCTACGGGAGTTGAACAACAAATATTTTAAAATGTCAACGTTGCGTACTATAGGCAAAACGATACACGGTGCTAACATCGAAATTTTAGAAATTGGCTTAAAAGACGATAGAGCCAGACTTACTGGTCGGCCATCCTTAATATTCCTAAGTGGGCTCGAACAAGGTTCACCAGCCACATCTCAAACGCTTTTAAAACTCGCAGAAGAATTCTTGAGTAATTACGGACAAGACATACGAATTAAGAACTATTTAAATAATTTTACAATATATATCGCACCAGATTTATATCCAAATTCGAATAAAACACAAACCTGCTCGACGCATGAAAGTCCCATTAAATTTACTGCAGGAGGCAAATTGAACGGTGATGCGAAGATTATAATGGATTGGTTTAAAGAAGTAAATGCAGTAATTTCAATTAATTTGAATAGTGGAACTCTGGGCGTAGAACTTCCAAATGTCGAATTTGACGAGTTACATGGAAAACGGAAAACTGTTGATGGTGTCTTATTAACAAATTTGGCATTAGCTTATACGACACCTCATCCGTTGATGAAGACCAGCAATTTTAAATGTCAGGATGTAATAGATTCAAGGAAAGAACAAGTTATTCCCGGTTCACCTATTTTCCGCAGTGTTGAAGAGGATTCTATACTGAATTACGTATACTTAAACACAAGTTCTATAATGTTAAACGTTTATGTAACTTGTTGTAATACCGATTATTACGAAGACGTTTGGCAAGAAAATAAGGAAAGTCTCTTGGCCATTTTTGACGAAGCCAGTAAAGGAGTAGCTGGTTACATTACGAATGAAAGCGATGAGCCAATTGAAAATGCTATTTTGTCTTATGATGGGTCTATTCATCATATCAGAAGTGAGAAAATGGGCGCTTATTGGCTGTTATTGCCGTCTGGAAATCACACGATAACAGCGGAAGCATCAGGATTTCATCCAAAAACTAAATTCATCGCTACTCCAAATTTGAGAAAATTCTCGCATTTGATGTTCAAATTGCAGAGGGACGAGACTGTTCTTGGTATGCCTAGGCTCGTGTTTATTATTATTGCCGGTAAGTCGTTTAAGTAGGAAATGACAATTTCTTCATAGCGATAACAAAATTAAATGAGAAATTACTATGTGTCAAAATATGGTTGAAGGTATGATTTGCTTGGGAATCGTGGCTTCCGGTGTTTGCTGCTACGCGAAATTTCAAACGAAAAGAGTCAAGGATAATGGAAAAAAAGATTATGCATTCAGTCTCCTTCGAGATGGTAATACATTTTTTGACGATGATGAAAAAGAAGTTGAAATATTCAAGAGGCCTATAAATGGTATGAGAAATGTTTTCGCTTTATTGTTTTTCAAAGACAAGTTATATATCAGGTGAGTTAATAAGAACAGCCAACTTGAATATCTTAATATATTGATCGTATAATAGATAATTTAAAAAATGGTTACCTAAAAAATGCCGAACTATTATCAACTTGGACTGAAAATGAAGTTTATTATTATTGTAAGTTCTTAACTGTTCTAAGTAAAACAACTTACACATATTTTATATGTAGCTGATATAGCTNATATATATACATATATATATGGCTTTATTATGTATGTATTGTATTCAAACATTACAGGACACGGGTCAACTATCGATACTACCATCGCAAGGCCATACTTTGATGACAACGGATCCAGTTCCGAAGAGGAAGGTAGCGATTTAGAATTTATAAGGCCAGAACAGGAATTACGAAGTTCATTTCAAGGAATGTCCTAACAATATTAATCCGTTTATTATAACTTATCCAGGATTTATTCCAGTTGTATCCTACCAAGCATATCAAGCGTAAGTGAAGCTATATGAATACGAGAGATACGAAGTATAATTGCTTCTCTCCTTCGTATTAATGTTGCTGAGATATGTATGTATTGTATGTGTGCGCGAATGGGTATATCACTATGTACATAAATTACTACAGACGTTTTCAACATCTTCAGTTGAAAATTATCCTCTGCATGAATAGTGAAATTGCAGAAAGTCTGTTCGTGTATTTAATCGCAGGATTTTTTTTAATTGTATGAAGGAATCAATTTGATGGACTTCCACAATTTAGTGCCTTTGAAAACTTGAATGCTTGTTCCACTGATCAAGTACAATTCCATATCCTCGAATAGGATAACAACATTAATAATTATAAATCTTCGAGTCTTCTGCGATAATAGTAATAACAAACTCGTATACATCAATTTTACCGTTTTGAATACGTAGCTTAGGTAATTTTCAACGAAGAATTAGGGGAATTATATATAATAACGAACAGAGTGATACATACACTGTCAGTTTTAATAATTTTATACAGGTGCGACTGTTATAATTAACACAAATGCCTTTTATTGTAATATTTAACACATTTTTAAATGTTAGAAAGCACACAACGTAAGTTCAAAATTTTAATAGTTAAACTAATGTTGAATCAAATACTATCGATTTTCTATTATCATACATGTTTCGTTACCAATGACTTCCAGAAATGAAAACAAAAACAGTAAAGTCAATTATTAACATAACTTATCGTGGCAATCAGAAATTATTACCGTATGTGAATGTAGTACATATTACGTGAGTTCCTGTCAATTTTTAAACCTAATGCATAAATGGAAACTTTTTTCTGTTAATCCAAAGATCGTTTCCATAGGAACTTTTATTCGTTTCATTTACTTTTCAAACTTCCACGATTACTTTGTGAAGATATCACGTAATTCATAAGTTACCTGTAAAATTTTAGAAGTATATTACTAAAACTAATGGAGATAAATAACTTTCTTAACATTTACACATAATTCTGACGTCTATAGTTGAAAGAATAACACAACATGAATGAAAATACAGTTTTAAATGCGACATTCGAAAAGTACTTAATTATTATGGTTTATTTTTCATAAATAAACATACAAAATATACGATATGATTCTTTACATTGTATTACAATTCTTACGTCCTTACATAGAATAATCATAATGAGCACCTTACATTCAATGCACTCTGGTGTCCTGTTGTCACAAAACTAATTATTAAATGTAATATTAGAGATTGTTTTTACACTGTGAATATCGCTGACTCCGTCTATTCAGAGTCTACCTAAATTATATTTTAAAGTACACTTATACAAAAGTATTATAGACTAATCCTACACCCCATTTTTATATTTGTAATAATTTTCGAGAATGTGTTCACTTCTCGAAAATGTTACCCTTTTGTTTCCACATTATTAGGAACCTAAATCCTTTCACCTTAATTCTTAATTATATTCAAGTTATGATCATGAACAAAAGTGAAATCAATCATAAAACAGTTCATACAGAACGAGTTATGAAAAGGAAGCTCGTTCATCAATTACTGTGTTGTGTAAATGCAATAGATACGTTACAATCGGACGGATATGACCTTACAAATCTGAATGATGCAACTTATATGCTAATACCATGAATTATATGTAAAATATACTACTATAAACTAAATCCTCAGCGAGACATAACGATCTAATTGTAGGTCATATTTTTCCAAAATTAAAAAAAAACTGAAGCATGGTAAAACACTTATTTTAAAAATAAATAATTACTTTAACTTATTGCAGGATATGAGTGATAACATTTTTCAGAATGATGTATTTCGATAAAGGAACATTTGAGGAATTATTTATTCTCACAGTTTTACTTGATTCAAAACACATCAATTTATACCTCTTTCAGTTTCAGTTTCTTGTACAAAAATTATTTTTATTCATTATAATAATGCTAAACCACTGTCAAATAAAGCTATTCAATCGTTATGATCGCGTTGTTGGGTTATACAGAGATCGGAATAAATTACACGGGAAATGCTTAACTTTTCAATGTTGTATCGACAATATGTTCATGTTCCGCATGTCATATACAACAAAGATAGTATACTATCTACGTAGTGATACGTTGTTATAACGCGTAAATACCAGTTATTACACAATGAAAAAGAAAAAACAATACTTTTTTAGAAACAAGTACAAGTTTGATTAAGATAAAATGCAAAGGAATACTTATTTAAATCATATGGTCAAAGACAGGTACTGTTTGCACTGATTTCACTTTTCAGCCTAGTCAATAATAGTGCTAACCAGTAATGTGCTTGATGTAGATATTTTTACAGCACAATGACGCGATATAATAGCTGCTTACACTAATCACTTGTACTTTTGATACTTGTTTATAATCACTTATAAAACAATGGAAGACCACTATAAATGGTGGTATGTACCATTTTAACAATACAACATTGTCTCTTTCTAGTTTGATGGATACATCCAGAGTTCATCCATCATTCGTTGCAATACTTATTTGGTCTACATAGAAAACTTTACACATTTATCGCATTGTTTTTGTGCATTTGTTAAAACTTCTTATATTCAGTCAATTCTTATTATTTACTGTAAATTGTCGTATTTACTTTAACTGCACCATTTTAAGGCACTGTGCAATGTACATACAATATTCTTAATTCTTGAGTGTATGTAAAAATCTTATCTCTGTGGTCTCTTAAATTTCTTTGCTTCAACACATTATGAATGGCTGCTCGCACATACTGGTAAGTGGTGAAATATTATAGTAGCTTCAATTATCAATTAAAGCACTTTCTAAAACATGTAATCACCGCTATGACACAAATTTATCAATTACCCTTTGAACTGGCCATATCTTATTACATCGGTGAAGGAAAGTAAGAAGTGTTCAAAATGTTCCATAAAATAGCAGCTGCCATAAGTGCTGTATATGTGAATACACTTGCCCACCAAACAACTTTCTCCCAAGTTCGAACTTCAAGATTACGAAGTACATTAATGCCCACCAATAGACCAGCAACTGCTCCAGCCAAGTGTGCCACATAACCAATTTGATCTTTGGTTTCTAAGATATAACGATTGTAAACTGCTTGACCAATATCAACACTGGTGACAACAAGGAATACTAGCAACTGAAGAATCGCAAATTCCATTTGATGCCAATTCATAAGAATTGTGGCAACGTGTGCTGTAATTAAGGCATATACACCACCAGAAGCTCCAGCTAGGAACACTCCAGGATCAGAAACTGAAGTTCCCAAAGATCCAGCCACTACGCCAGCGATATAAATCACAAGAACTCTCCACCATTTGTGCACCATTTCCAAAGGAATTCCTAGCATAATTTGTACTAATAAGTTGACTACCAGATGGAAAACCCTAAATCCAAAAAAGAAAAGAATAATTTTAATTAAATTTGAAATCTTCTACATATATAAACATCACTAAGTATTTTTATACATTTTTTAGCATTTTTAACTCACCCTACATGTACAAACATGTATGAAAAGTACCTCCATACTTGGTATCTCTTATATGGATTATAAATGAACAACATTGCAGCAGGTCCATCCACAGAAAGAGACTTGTGCTCTATGGCATCATAAAGAAAAAGTGAAATTTCTAGTATAGAAATAATTATCATTGCAACGGCTGGTGGATTACAAGTGTATTCTTCCTCATACTGTCCATCGGGTAAATCACTGGAGTAACGGGCTTGTAATGATCCTGATATCGTTGGACGTTGTGGTACCATAGTATGTACATATCTCTGTACAAAATGTCCAAATACACCTTGCATATCTCTTCGGTGAATCTGGAAGGATTTAATGCAACAATGGCATTGAAACTAAATGGTCAATGTAAAATATTTAATTGACACAGAAGAACAAACAAACCATGGCTATAAATTCTGGATACTCCAAGTATCCCGAATCATCCAAATCTGCTTTATGCATAATCATTCTAACTACTCGCGTAGGAATATCATTGGTGTATGTCGAACCACGTATCATTGCTTTTAATTCATGGTATGATATTTTCCCATCTCCATCAAGATCATACTTTTCAAATATTGACTTCCAGTGCTACGAACAAGAAACTCATGTAATTTGGTTATATTATCAATCATTTCAAGCTCCATCATTATAGTCACATTAATATCACTTACAGCATCGGTGTATCGCAAAGGTATGGTAACACCTGATTCACCTTCCTGTCCGCTTGCCATTCTTATAAGTTTAAAACTTCTACAAAAAAGGAAAAGTTCAGATTTGTAGAATCAATTCTGTAAGACGTTAAATATTTGTCTTAACATTTTTGATATCCAGCTATACTTTTATGCTAAAGTATATTTAAGCATGAATGATTCTAATGACATTTGAGAGAAACTGGAAACCAAATTCGTAAATTCACGTCTTAATTTCTTTAAGCCGTAGGTGTGCATAAAATAAAAACTATAAATCCAACTTGCAGGACGAAACCAATTAATTAAAAACTATCACTAATTGCGCCCTGACCTCGTCTCAAGCACTAAAAGTTCACTTTACACATATATCGAAGAATAGCGGTTCGAATTCGTCCCGTATCGTTTCTAGATAAGTGGCGATAATCATGCGATAAGACGCCGAAAGGGTTAGTAAGCCACTCAGAATTCGCGATGAGTGGCCTAGCGTGAGAAAGGCAAGCCTTTACCGTTATCGGACGACGTGTAGTATGTGTAAGTATGTATAACAACAATAATCACAATAAATGCGACAAAACGAGCATGGAACCTATGAGGTTCCTTAACACAGGTTATGTCAGGTTATGTCTCCTTCGGATGATATTTCTCTGTTCGACATTTACAAATATACAACGCGACTGGCGAGTCGTTCCATTCTTAAGTTTTGCAATAAGCGCACTTTTGCGTGGAGTGAACCTGGCTTGGTCAGGGGTTATCCTGGAACCTCAGTACCAAGAAAACACCAGGGAATATTGGCTGACGTTTCTACATCCTCCCCCTTCCCCCGTCCCCCGTTCTCCTTTGTGGATTAGTCCCAGAAATTGTCATTTGTCCGCATCACCTGGCGTCATGTGTTACCACTGTTTGAGAGGTGAATAATAATGTCAAAAAAAGTTTTTCTACTTCTCACTTAAGAAACCACGTAAACCTCACATTAACACAATTCCGTCTAAGAATAAATATTTATATGTATACAATCCTTGTAAAGAAATTTATTCGAAATTTAATAAAAAATGTCAATCAATAAAACTATAAATGATTATTGTATATAATATTCTGACTGATGAATTGCTGCAAAAGTGAAGAGTAAGAGTCCAAGTAAAAGTTGGGGAAATTTCCGATGAATTGAATGCTGTGGAGTCATCAGGAAAGATCCGGGTTTCCTGCGTACTGGTGTACAAATTATTGCCTATATGATAACACGTTTTTGTACCCAATTAAAATTGATCCATTACTATACATCACATGTTTCGAGGCCCAGTAGATGAATACGAATTTAGTCACCAAGCACTGGTCTGTGTTAATATCTCTTCCGAAATTTCGGAAATTAATGTATTATCTCAGTATAAAATTGGCCATTAAATAAATGAATACACGTTTATTTGATAAATTGCATAAATGTGTAGGTAATGTATCATAAAACCTTTTAAATTTCACTTCTACAAGCACAGTTCAACTTTTTTTTCTAGTTATTACGTCAAGGTTCTTGAAACAATCTCAATGAAAATTCTACACTAGTAGCAAATGAAGAATTATATCGCTACACCTGTTACCTGTCTTGTTTCAATACCTTCAATGTTCAGCAATATCCGAGAGTATTAACCCCTTGCCATACGATTTAAGTCCCAACTGCGTAGGCCCGAAACGATATATGTTTACATTTGGCCCGAGCGATGTACCACGGGCCAGGCTCGTAATAATCAGTTTTGGCCCGAATACCTGACCACGAGTCTCGCATGTGGTTGTAGGGCAAAGGGTTAAAACGCCAAATTGAAGGCACTACTGAACTCGGATACTTGGACAACGAATAGAACCACGAGACATGCGGAACGAACCAATGGAAAAGCCATAAGCCGTTGCTAAGTTACGAGGGTTCGTTTAGTAAACAAACGCAGTGAGGGAGACTGACCACGTTGAATTCGGTGAATTTGATATTTTCGGAGTTTAGTCCACCGACCTGGATTAAAATGTTAGAAAAGTCTCAGGGGAAGATGAAGATTGCCGAGAGCTATCGAATTAAGGACCCTATCGAGAATTTCAAGCTTAAGTAAGTGATTGCAGACACGAGTTAATTGTAAAGAATCGCGAAGATACACTTTTGATCTTTTGATGTTTGATTAGTAGTACTTGCAATCAACCGATACATAATAACAGAAATGATTTTCTATAGCACTTAATGAAAATAATTATGTTTCTTCATGTGGATGTGGATGTGGAGTGGACTTAAAAATACAAATGAAACTTTTAATGGGCAATTTAGGTTTTACATAAATTTAACTTAATGAATTTTCCAATACAAATTAAAACACATCTTTCAACGAATTTTATGTTGGAATTTTTTGAATATTTAAATCACGGTATCATTAAGTTTTAAACTCGGATCGTAAGGATCCATGAGAATCATCTGTTAGACGGTAGATTTATCTCGAACTTCCAAATTGTATTTATACAATCGCCGTTTATTGTTTCAGAGTCAAAATCGTTCAGCAGAAATCCGTGCTGGCAGAATTGTTTGGAGAAGAAGGGGAGACTAGAGATCCGAATTTCTTGAAAGTTGAAGAGCGCAGTTTCAGCTGGCAGGAAAAAGTTTTCGCCCCGTTTGAAATAAAATTCTACGAGGACGAGAAAAATTGCTTAACAGATTACCAGAAAGAGTATTATAGAAGAATAGTTGAAGGAAATGTCGAGGGATCTCGTTTGTTCTCTTATACACAGCATGACACTTATTGCCCCGATGATAGTTTAATAACGTTGGATTTTAAGTCGTACCTATCGAAACGCAATACGGAGGCACTTTCTGTGCTTCGGAATCGGAAACCTTTCGCCGAGAGGTATAATAAAAAAGTCATTGACGTCAGACCTCACAAAACGAGAATTCGCTCGAATCATTACCTTTATCAGGAACGAGAAGTTATGTACATTCTAGCGGATTTAACTCCGAAGGACCACGTGGTTGCGGAATCGAATATCGCAGAAACTCTCCTATGCACTGTAACGTTCGACAGAGCTCGCAACATTCTCACCGTGAATCCCGATTTTAATTACGATGAATGCTACATTGTAAATGGAGGTGATATGAGTTACAATTATTGGATACAACACACTTCGGAAAAACAAACCCACGAAGATTTGGAACGTCAATTAGAGATCGTGCAACAGGTGGGTAAACAAATTTAAATTCGTGAAAAGTTAATGAATTATAAATTAATATTGACAACACATAAATGTTGTCTATATCGCGTATACGAATGGAATAGATTAAACATTTAACAAATATCTCCTCATTTTGAAACGTTTCTTGATTTTTTTTATTTTTTACCTAAATACTCACCCAACATAGGAAATCTCCGAAATCTGTCGCATCATTTTTTGTGGCAGGAAAAAAGTCATTTTCTATTAAAACTTTGCACAACAGTTTAGCGTGGTGTCCACAAAACTTTGCACAACGATCCGGTATCCACGGAAAAATTATTTAGATATTGGAATTGTATATGTGCATTACTTTAATGCAAATGTAATGCCTTCACAAAATTGCAACAACCTGGTTACATTGCACAATGCTGTCGGATCGTTGCCGAATGATTTCAATAACGTCGATGAGCTCACGTTTATCGTAACGTAAGCAATATCGATATACAATTTCTGCAATGTTGCACTTGTAAAGTTGCAGCCCGTAATTTTATGATGAAATCCTCACAGCTCTGGTATCGCTGTATCGCTGAAAACGCCTTAACTATTTCTTGTTTGTCGAGAGCACTTTTTACTCGCGAAGCTACCGTCTCGAGACTTGACAGTCACTACGATCAATGGATCCGACTAACGAAGATGTGCAATTTTTTATTACTCAACCAGAAGCGGCCACGTGTGACTAATGGTAGAAGAATGTGATAATAATCGATGAGTTATTACATGCCCGATGGAAGAGCTAGGTATGTGCGTAAGAAAATGCACAGAACGAGGAGAACGAAATTGCGACCCCAGTTGATGGTCTCGCTGCCAACGAACGACTGAATCCCATGTACTCTGAATATCCGTTTAAAACGTTCGCCCACACCGACAAATATGTTTATGTTCCCAAGCCGTCTGTGCACGTGGGTTGCCTCGCCAGTGACCCGCGGAGTACCTTCACAAATTCACAATCGCACCTATACCGGCACCATCATGCTTCTAGCCTTGGCAATTCAACGCTCCGAGACGAATTTTTTTGCTTTGGGTCTTTTCGCTTCGTCATTACTCACGTATTTCTTCTGCTTCCGTCTTTTCCCCGTACATAATAACGGGCGATGACGAACCCATTGTCGCGGAGTCGTAGAAAAGCTCGCGGAAGTTGAAGACTATCTGTACTATAGCAATCGAAATGTAATATTCTCAATGTATCATTTCCATGGGAAAGTTTAGATAGTCATAGACGAGTCTGTGAATAGTCCAGCTTGGTCTTTCAACGATCAGATAATGTTTTTTATAACGTGATCATTAAATTTATAGATATATAGAGATAAATATATAGAGAGAAATAATTGGTAGGAAGAAACACTGTTATAATTTGTGTGGCTTTTTTTTTTCCAGGAAATTCAACACGAAAAGATCATTAAAGAAGCGAAGATCTATCACGAGATGCGACTTCCTCCATCGAATGTGCTGCGAGTATTTTTAACCCTGGAAATCAAAAGCGCTCGCAATTTTCCTTACAACGCGCCGTTTATCACCTATACCATAAATTTACCACCATATTGGTCCACCGGACAACGCGAAAACCTTACTGGGCGGACACAAAGATGCTGTATGAGAAATGGAATTGCAAACTTTGGTTACATCACAGAAATCTCTCTGGATTTTAATTTGAATTGCTTACAGGATGACAATGTCCTACCGTCTTGGCCTTGTATATTAATATCTGTAGCTTCTCTGGACAGCTGGACAAGGTAGGACAGAACTCCAATCTTCAGTTCTAGGTTTCGTGAGATTTGGTAAAATGTAAGAGTGTAAAAATCCTAAGAGTGTCATTTTATGTTGGAACTTTTTTTTCTGATTCTACCAAATTTCAAAACTCTATCAATTAAGTTTATTAATATTGTACGCACACATCGCACCTTTACTTCGTTAGCCATGAGATAACTAATTCCAAGTCAAAAATGGTGTTAGACCTGAAGATATCTTTTATTAAACATCACAGCCTTCTTCCATCTTTTATCCGTAATCATGTCAATGGGATACGCTCAATAGGAAATTTCTCACGGTTCTCATTTTCCAACTTAGGGTTAATTTGTAAGTTAATTTGGAATATATTTTGTAAATCATTCTTTTCGGATCAAGGATAAGCGCGACGCGGGATACAAACCTCGTACTTAAACCTTGTTAGGGTTACCAGATTGAAATTCTACTTAACGTATAAAATGAGGCTCAATGAAAATGTAGCACTGCTGAAGGTGAACAACACGGAAACTGTATATGTCATTTTCAAATATTTCACATCACCTTCACCGTACTGCGATAATCATTTGAATTGAATTTAAATCTTTATTTAAATTTATAAAGGAATTATTTTCACAAATTAATTACAATGCTGAAAATGCAATTCTTTTTGTGGTCGTGTTTAGTCATGTTTTTTTTTGCTTCCAGGTATCGCATCGAAGGATACACCTACGTGAATTTACCCTGTTACCCCGGCTCCCACGATCTGTCACTCCACACTTGGAGACCCGTTTGCGGTCTAGTAAACTCTCTTCGACGATTTTTCATTGGTGGCACATACGAACTCGAAGATATAACGTATTGCAGCATACCAGCCATACATGAAGGGCCGAAGCTGGAGAAACCATGGCTGACGGTTGTACCAAGCGGTCATGTCAACCTGAAAATAAACGTAGCTCATCAAAACAAGTCGTTTCTAAAAGATACAGGCTGCGAAAAAGACGTTTTCGAAAGATTGAGTGGGGGAACACTTATGAGTAGCGTGGACGATGTCCTGGAACAATTTAAAGCCGCCAGAGAACGCATGATTAGAGCGAGGAACGACCACGCTAGTACGTTCTATCGATAATCACGTCGCAAAGTTATCTTCAATGATATTCGAAAACATTGAGAATGCAAACTTCTATTGTACTCTGTAACCGGCGGAGGACCCACAAAGGTGCAATTCGTATGATTGTCCTTCAATCTCAAGAACAAGAGCTTCCAATGAGATGTAGCGATTGAAATCGTAGAAATGATAATTCTAGCAAATGTAGGAATCGTGCGCAAATGTTGAAAAGGGTTAAGAAAAGCACGACTAGTGGAAGAGTAAAACATCTATCAAGTGAATTATTTGATAATGTCCCGTTTAGTATATATGTATGTCGTAACATCCTGAAGTTTGATACTCTCCCGCCGATGATTCAAGCTAGTTAAAAGCTGTAATACATCACTACTAGGTTTAGAAAGCTGAGCTGTCACGTTGGCGTTTTTCGAGGGTGAGTGTTGTTCCCGAATCTCGAGGATTCCTAGGGGAAGAGAATATCCGAAACATCGTTTGACGTCAGAGAACACCTGAAAATACTAAGAAGCGGGAAATTGAAGGAAAGCTAAATCGTTTAGACGTTTGACTACTAAGTATAGCTATCAATGGACTCGAGAATTACGTAATTTTTAGAAGAAAAAAAGTGTGATTTACTTAAAAGAGATACCGATCGTTAATCAATCGGACCAGGCCTGTTGTAACGGAGGTGATTTTTATTTCAACAAAAATAACAATTTACATTGAATTGTTTCTGATAATAATATTATCGTGTATGCTACACCTGTAGTTTACTGTAGGCGTGGTATACGATCGCTTCGCTATTAATCGTTATTTTATTTCTTTAATTATTCATTAATAGTGTTCGCAGGTGGCGATCCGTTATCCGAGTTCTCACGTTCCCCCGATCGCTTATGATACAATATTCAAGATAGAGGATGAGTGTACCTCAACGTTAGTAGCTTTATACAGAGAGTTAACCGCGGATAATCGAACACCAGAATGCACGTAATCGATCGACCGGTCGATCGATTCGCTGAAGTTATAATCAAGTAGGTTCAGGTGTACAAGTATTTTTTAAATACATTAGACCTTTCTAGTCTAGATTCGTTTCCGGATTAAGAGCTCTATAGACGGTAAATGCCTAGTGGCTCCTTTATACCCCCAACCCGTCTCTTACGGCGCTACGAATTTTCTTAAAAATTACTATCGATTCAGTTACGGCGGTTTTAAGTGCTATCCTTTTAGTTCCCCGCTAATGTACTTCCTTTCAATGCATCGACATCGCACCGCTGGAAGCTTTTTCGGTTCCTGCAGAATCTTCCACGTACATTTTTTCACGCGCTGCACATCGAACTGTCCTTACGCGAAAGCGAGCTTTTCCATATTCAATTTGAGAGAATTACAACGGTAGCGTTTTTTCTTTTTTTTTTCACCCAAACTGGCTGTTGTCAGGTGAATATCAATTATATTTTAACATCATCTTTTCTGTTCGATCCGATATATTATCGTCGAGATAAAGCCTGCGCGGCACCAGTAAGCTACGAACGAGCGCGTTTGCATTCGGTTAATACTTTTTCCAATTAGTAGAAACTTTCGGATACAAATAAACGAGCGATTATTTTATTTGTACACCCTTATGCAGGACTGTGCATACCAGCTAGCGATTTACCGAGAAGTCCACTGTTTGTCACACTTGAAAATGTCCATTTACTATCAAATGAAGCATTTTTGAGTAGAAAATGGCGCGCCAGTTCCTGCCACAAGTGCATCGAAGATCGATCCGATTCAAACGGGTCGAAGGGCTGTTCACTTCAGTTTCTCATGAAATCCAGTTGATTTCTCGTATCCTATGATTTTATTCTAGAAATCCAGACAGTTTCTCGCAGCACTGAGTATTGAGCACTGAACATGCAGCATTGAGAAAAATATTTCCATTACTTTTCGTTGACATTTAATTTCGTGAAACCGCGAAATTTCTTGAATGGCTAAAAAATGTATTAATTCAAGTTGAATCGTTTTACGTTGCATCAAGCGAATAGCCCCTCGAAGCAGATTGAGCAATTTTCAGACGTCCTCGACAAAATTGGAACGCATTAAGCAGGGAGAAAAGACACTTAAATGAAGTTCCAACAAAGGGAGGAAAGCAATGCCGATGGTGACGCCGCAACGTGCCTGTTAACGATCGACAATACTCAACGATTCGAAGATGGATCACAGATCGGGTTCCATACATTTTCGTTTCAACTTTGGTAACGATCCATTAATCGAAAAGTATCCCTAAAGGACTCCTATAACGTAGCGCGAGAGAAAATCTCAAGAACGCAGAAATTTCCACGTTCACCCTTACACGTTAATCGCGCGATTTAAAAGGATTGAGCAGTAAAAAAAGTCTCTTTGTCGGGGATGAAAGGGCGCCGCTGTCAATTTCGACAGTTCCGTTCGTTCGAATTGCGCAATCAGTCTTAGACGTATAATATGTCAAGGGTCCTAGAGATGATCTCCGGCGCATCGGCGTCGTTACAGGAGGCTTCCTAAGGTAGCTCGAACAGCGGGGAAGAAGGCAAATGAAAAAGAGCACAAATTGCAGCGAAAACTATAGGAAAACATTTAATAAAACGGCCATAAAAGATTGCGAAAAGGCACAGGTACCTTCCGTAACGGCATTTCGAGATTTCGGGACTCGTCGATATTTTCCAATATGTATTCGGCGTTCGGGTTAACAAGAAACGAAAGGTTTCGCGAGTTTCGAGAGTTACAACGAAGCGCGACCTCGAGGCAGATTTGCATCCGAGTTTCTGGAATTTCTAAGAGTCGCGTGGATCACGGCCTAAGCCGCGCGGCAGTCCACGCGTTGACAACCGTGCCGCGTACAAATATAAAATTAGGCTGTATAAAAAAGTCGTATGTAGTACGTGTCGCCAGGCGCATGCGAGCGCAGCGCTAAATGAACGTAGGTGTGTCGCGCGTGTTTCACGTGTGTCCGTATATGGGGGTGTGTCGCGAGAGTACGACCGCCCGTGTGTGTGATTCCGTGTGATTCTGCAGCATTAAATTAAATAAAATCCACATCCATTCGTTCATTAATAATTCAATCATCTTTAATCGGTTGTTTTCATTCATTTAATAAGAGAACGTAGTCCTGGGAGAAGTTCCCTAGTCAGTTCGTGGTTTCTAATATCTAAGCGCTACCTTCTAGACTTAATCTAGTCCTATGTATCCTTAATCGATACGCGATAAACTAGTATTCGTATAATTACTTGCTCACCTTACCGGCTAGTATTATGTACTATGTACAACACTTAAAGTTACACTGCTTTCAGTTTAAACCACTTTACCAAAAAGAAGAAAAGAAATGACGATGCGACCAAAACGATCTCCGCAGAGGACGGGGCGACCGGGGCCTAAATTACACCACTTACGCGCCCGGGTCTCCCGCCGCGTGCGTCCAACGTGCGTCTAGTCGCGTCTACCCGCCTCCAGTCGCACGCACATACGAGCGTGCATCGTCCGCAAATTTTTATGTATAACTAAATATATATCTATTTACACATTCAACTGCCGTATTCCATCGCGTTGCGCGTCTCTTTTTTCGTCTCTCGTTCCCTCAGCTCGCGAGCTGGGTCCGTAAATATACCGCGCATTGGTATCGTCGATTAGCCGGCCTTAATCCCATACACCTGGCGGACTCATTCGAAATAAAAACGTACACACTCATCAACGCGACATTTATCATTTCACGAATCTAATCGTTCCATATTTACAAAAAAAAAAAGAACCGTCCGCGTCGTTTAATATCCCGGACGGTTCGAGCACGCACATCGAATCGCGCGCTAGTTGTAACACCGTCAGGATAAACGGTAGAAGGGGCTTGAGTTCGGAACATTTCGTCAATCAATTTTTCTTTTATGCCTGGTTGTCGCGTAATTACGTCCAGAGTGGAGTTTACGGTGAAAACGCTTGTACTCGTGCGGCAGGCTCGATTGCGCGTTCCGTGAAAAGTTCAAAACCATATAGCATTGTCAAATTTACCACACTTAGGTGAAGCGTCACTACAAATATAGCACACGTAATATAGTGTGGTTTCAAAGCTACGCGTTAGAATAAAGAATCGTGGGTGCGGCACGAGTATGACGAGATCTTTGCTGTAAAAGGCGTTCTCTTGCAGTTGCGCTCGAATAGCCGTAGAACGCGATGTTCCCTGCATTACGAACCACGGAATAACAACTACTTCATGACAAAGTTAGTCGGTACATTGGAAATAAAGAAACTAAAATTAACGAAACGTTCGAAGTCTCGACCACCTAAGCTGAATCAAGCTTCACACCAATCACACCAAAGGCGTACCACGGCCTCGTATTCGTCCGAATAAATCTCCGCGACCTTCGAGATCTCCGTCGGGAGTATCGAAAGAGATCACGATGCAGCTAAGAAGCATCCCTGACTTCGAGAACAACTCTCGAATAGACGAGATGTCCAGCCACCCTAACCGACAGGGTCGAATTCCTAAAACATTCCTAAATCATTTGCGCGGAAAACCAAAGCAAGTACCAGGGCGGATTCGATGTCAGGCCGCCCGAAGATCATAAACTGGATGAAAACTACCAATTGCTGCTACGGCGTCTCTCAACGAGAGGGGCAGCCTAAAATTGTTTAAAAAAGAAACTACATCAAGTCCAACCGGCAGTAGAACGCCAAATTTGCGTCGTCGCGTCTCTCGTTAAGAGAATCTCCTGAACCCGGTCTTAGTCAATGGACGGGCCGTGTTCTGAAACACGTTCCTCTTCCTAAATTTTCTAAGAACAGAAAAAGGACTGATCCGTTGCGGCCTCGCACCAAGAATCTTCGGAATAATTGCAAATTGATCGTTGAACCTAGCCGGGTGGCACCTTTCTCTCGTTCCACCTCCCTTCCCCCTTCTCCGTTGCATGACCCAGACTCGATTAAAATTAAAATAAGTGTTCGCATAAAAAAATGGCCGTTCAGCCTAACGCGTAAAAATTGCGTCGCTTCGAGCGCTAGGATCGACCGCCATGTCGTGGTCGGTCACGTGACGCTGCGCCGAAGAATGATCGGCTACCGGGCTGAATCCCGTTGCCTCGTCGACGAGACAAGACTCCGCGTAGCTACGGATCTCCACGAATTCCCACGGTTCCCTCGAGGCGAACCTCGTCCGAGGGGCAACGTCGACCGACGAGACGAGCCCTTGGCCCGTCAAAGCGACGAGTTCAGCTCCACGAGGCCGCGGTTAGGCGGCGAAAGGCGATCCGGTGTTCCGCCGGGTGCCGCGCCGTAATCAATCCTCGTCGGAGAGGGGCTCGTACTGCGCGGAGAGCAGCGGTGCAGGTTCCGCCTGTGGCTGCTCAGTTTTGGTCACCGTCACGGAACCCGAGGTCGGAGGGGGCGGCGCCGGAGGCGGGCCAGTGTGCACTCCTAGTGCACTGAATGGATAGAAGGTCGTCGGCGTGGGAGCCGGCGCGGGTGCAGAGGACTGCACGGCCTGACTGGGAGTCTCGTCGATGACCATGTCGCCCCCGGAAGGACTGTCCACATTGCCACCGCCGCTTCCCCCGGTCGCGCCACCCTTGTCCTCCTTATCGCCGACTGCACCAACCCCGCCGGACCCGTTGCGTTCGCCCGTGCCGCCTCCACCGCCGCTTCCTCCGCCGCCGCCGCCGCCTCCGCCGCTACCAGCGCCGCCGCTGCTACCGCTGCTCGCTTTGTCGTCCTCGGATGTCCTCATTACCTCGACGATCTTGTTCTTTACGTAATCCAAGGGCGAGAGATGAGGTTTGTTGGAGGGTACGCTGGAAGTCGTGGTGGCAGTGCTAGTTTCGTAAAAGCGACGCGCGTAGTGATTCGTCGTTGTTTCCGGCGGCGACACGGGTTCTACTGCGTGAAACTGTTGTTTGCCTGCTGACGATACTTGCTGCTGCTGTTGATGTTGTTGCTGCTGGTGTTGTTGCTGCTGCTGCTGCTGCTGCTGTTGCTGCTGCTGCTGTTGCTGCTGTTGCTGCTGCTGCTGTTGTTGTTGCTGCTGCTGCTGTTGTTGTTGCTGCTGCTGCTGCTGCTGCTGTTGGGACTGCTGCTGCTGCTGCTGTTGGGACTGCTGCTGCTGCTGTTGTTGCTGTTGTTGGGCCACTCGAATGATTTGCCTTTCGTCGCCGGTCTTTGCGGATTCCGTCTCTGCTCCTTTCCGTCTCTTCCACTGATCATCGTGGTACCTGAAATAACAAACGACATGTTATCTTCTCTCGTTGATTGCGCAAACGATCGTATAGCGGAAACTTGGAACTTACCCTGCGTAGGATCTGTAAGACGCATGCGGTGGCCCGTAATCCTTTGTTACTAGGTGATCGATGTGTTCTCCGAGCGTAATACCCTTGTTTCCACTGGCGCTACCTCCACCAGGTCCGCTATTGGCGCCGCTTCCATCTCCCGCAGGACTGTGTGCCACGCCATTAGGTTCAGCTGGGCTTTCTCGGTGGAAACCCTAAACCAACGATAAAACATAATAAAAGCCATTCCCTATCAAGAGTTTTTCTGCGTCTCGGTAAACGATGAAATCCCCTATTTTGTCAGTAGTTTTATTATTAACATGGTTACACAAATAAAATATGCGTTAAAAATGAATAAGGGAAATAAAATATCGACATACCGGGAAAAGACGATCGCTTCCTCTGCTTGTTTGACTATTAGATGCGGGACTTCCACTGGCGTTTTCGACACTCTGATTGATCTGATGAGTGATTATGGCATCGATCAGGCTGGCAGCTGTGAGAGTAGAGGACGAGTCATTCTGCTGTTGATTAGAGGAAGACTGACTCTGCCTCGAGGTAGCTTGTTGCGATTGTTGCTGTTGCTGCTGTTGTATTCTAGAGGAAGGAGGAAATCCGCTACTCAGTAACCTCGAAGATTCTCTGTCTTGAAGCTGTTGATGCTGCTGATCTCGATAAATCTGCGCGATATGACGTCTCTCAGCTTCCATGCGTTGCTGCTGCAGAAGATGGTGCTGAATTTGTTGATGCTGATGCAGATGAACAAAGTCTCTTTCTCTCTGTTGCTGCACGGCAAGTCGGTGTTCCGCATGCTGCTGTTGCATCTCTTTCTCACGTTCCTGCTGAACTGCCAATCGATGTTCCTGCTGCTGTTGTTGGATCTCCTTTTCCCTCTGTTGTACCGCCAGTCGATGTTCCTGATGTTCCTTTTCCCTCTGGGCAACTGCGGCTAGTTGTTGTTGAATCTCTTTTTCCCGCTGTTGATGAACGGCCATTCTATGCTCGGTGTGCTGTATCTCCTTTTCCCTCTGCTGGACGGACAGGCGGTGCTCGGCATGCATCTCCTTTTCCCTCTGTTGGGCCAACCTATGCTCCTGTTGATGAATCTCCTTCTCGCGTTGATGGTGATGTTGCTGCACGACCATGCGGTGTTCCAACTGTTGCAACTCCTCTCGCTGTATTCTGTGTTCCTCCTTTACCCGCATATGCGCCTCCCTCTCTCGTTGATGTTGCTGATGTTGCTGGTGCTGTTGGTGCTGCTGATGCACGGCTGCCATTCGATGCTCTGCCTGCTGCATGGCCAGTCGATGCTCTTGAAGTCGCATCTCCTGCTCGCGAAAGGCTCTATTGTTATCCGCATAGCGGTCAGCGAGAAGCCTGTCAGCCATGGTTTTTCCAAGGCCCTCGTGACTGCCGCTACTCGACGCCGCTATCGGATGCCCGTGCGGATGGGGCACTGGAAGACTCGGTTGCTGCACCGCCACGTCCACCAAGCTGGAGAACGCTTCCAAGCCAGGAGGCGGCGGGGGATAGTGAATCTGTTTCTGCGGGTTATGCCTCTGTATAACGCCTTGACGCGGCTGCGTATGCGACTGAGGAGGCGGTGGCGGTGGCGGAGGTGTGCCCGTGTAGTAGAGCGTCGAAGGAGTTTCGCTCTTTCCGGCGTTTTCGCCACTCGCCGAGCTCCTACTCCTCGGGTGCATCTGCTGACTCGTTATGTAATCGTTCATAATGATCTGCCTGGAGGAAAGTTGCTGCTCCATCGTGTAGCTAGGAGGTGGACGCGCCGGGTAGGAGTTATACTGATTGCCGTGAGACACCACCACTCCTTGGTTCTGGCCTTGACCCGGAACACTGCCGGTTGTTACCGGTGAATGTCTAATGGAACGATGGTAATCGTAGATGGGCGCTCGCTTGTCGACGGCAAACGGATGTACGGGTGTACCTTGGGTAATGGACCCCCCGGTCTCTTTCAGGCCCGATTGGCTAGTCGTTGTGCTCGCGCCACTCCCGGCATTGCCCGGTGGGGTCATCTGCCGAAGAAGACCCTCATAACGAGCTCCAGATACCGGGGTTCCGTGAGTTATCGATCCACTTTTGTGACCCGCACCTATGCTCGCAAGCTTGGGCGATAGTTTCGGATGTGCCGGTGGCACCGCTACCTTGTTCATCTTCGGTGTAAGGGGAGCTTGAGGCCTTGGCAAGGATGGGTAGAGCGGACTTTTGGAACCGCGTCCTTGGTCCGGATGCCCATGAGGATGATAATAAGCCCCCGGTGGTGGTTCCGGTCGGTAGAGGGTTACCGTCGGCGGTTTGTGCGGCGGTTGGAGGGAATGATTGTACTCTTGCTGTTGTCTTGGTTTCTTTATGCTCAGGTCGAGGGTTCCCTCCGTTTCCCGGAGAGCTTGCTGAACTTGCATTACCACCAAACCCTCTTTCGGTAGTAGATCCGACGACTGAGATTGACTACTCGGCACGGAAGGTGGACAGGGTGTGATAGTTGCTTGCATTTGGCCTGTTATCGATAACGGGATAAGTTAGATCGATAATAATTTCAGTAAAACTTTTAAAAACTGATTAATCTATCTTAAGAAGCTTATAACGTTCTCTTACCAAGCTGTTGTGGACTCGGGGCTGAGCGGTGACTATGATGAGGTCCAGATACGACGGAAAGCGTCGCCAAAGTCGAGTCCCTGTTGGACATAACGGTGGGTACACTCGAAGACGGCTTGTATTCGCGAACAAATGTTATGTCGTTGCGATGATCCGTCTTGAGAATGCTAGATATCGTCGCTGTACCGGAACTAACGGGAACGGGACCGGTACTGGCTGGGCTATTAGGGTTACGTTTGAGCTGCATCTCTATTACACCCAGCATGAGATCCTTGACGGTAAGCGGATTAGAATTGCTAGTAGTCGATGGTGGGGAATGGACAACTGGCGGAGGTTGCTGAGGCTGCTGCTGCTGCTGTTGCTGTTGTTGCTGCTGCATTATTGTACTCGTGCTACTAGTAGTAGTTAGCGTTACCACGACGCTGCTCGTATCCAAATCGGTACCTCCCTGACCTTCGTCCGCCGTCTCCTGAAACCACGAGCGGACCTCTATCAGACGGCTCTATTACCGGAAAAGGACCAAGAAGTTAACAAAAAAACTGGATCGTCTCATACATAACCTCTAACACTCCATAATTCGGTATTACCGAACAGGGCAATTAGGTCTTTCGGAACTATACTCAATAGGAGGCCTACGAATAGGTTCTCTATTTAAAAATCTACCATATAATAGATGCTTAGTGAATTTTCGTGCAAAACAACATGCATGCCGATTACGAATCCAAGGTAAATATCTTCATGGATGCTTTCTGTTAGGAGCGGTAAACAAAATTAAATCTCTAAAATCAAATAAAACGCTTACATCAATGTCTTTATCCTTGAAATACAAAACTGAAAATAGAGTAGCTGAGCGTTCTATATTTACTAAACCATAAGAAATAAAATGTATGAACATCGAAACACTTCATACAGGCAACTTTTCCTTCCTTTAACTGTCTTACCGTGGCAGAACTGTCGTAATCTTCCCTGTTAGCAGCTGGTGCTCCGACTGCGGAGGATTGCTGGGACGAAGCAATGTTCGATGAGGACGGCACCAACGATACAACAGCGATGTCCGAGAGTTTATCGCCGAGTTTTGGATCCGATGATTGCTGGAAAGGTAAAGAAGCTCCTGCAGAAACCGAAGTTGACGACGAAGCCGGAACTACCGGTGTACTACTCGATATGGTGTTTGCAGGACTTCCCGCACTGGCCGTATCGCTGGAGTCGTGCACCTAATCAATAATAATAAATTGTCAGTACAAAGTGATATCATTCTATCAATACGTAGTATTGCATAAAGCAATATAAAACAGGATGTACATTTTAGAAGCGATATTTTATGCAAACACGTGAGAATATAGGAAAATAAGATATCGCGTATTCTGTAAATCATTATGCCAAACTAACTCCTTGTAACAAAACTAATTCCTTAGTTAGTTTTGTTACAAGATGTCTCGTAGATGTCCTTCGATTATGCAACAGGGCAAACTTACAGCCAATTCGTCACAGCTACTGGTACTGCTACCGCTTTCCTCCTCGTCGGTAAGGCACGGCCTTCGCTCTTCACCGAGAGACTGATAGTACTCTGCGACCACTTGATCCAATCCTAATTTCTTCCGGTACGTAAGGTAATAAGTTTTACACTGATGATTCGACTTTCCAGATATCTGCTCCGAGACTTTGGGCCAATTGGTACCGTGCTCTCGCAACGCTCTCTTGAGCTGTTCAAGCTCCTCGTCCGACCACTGACGCGTCGATGGATCTGTAGTATCTTCGGAAGCGTCCGGTCCACCGGATAGATGAGGTGCCAACCTTCTCGATATCCGATTGAAACATGCGGAGCAGCACTTCGTCGCATTGCTGGGTATCTCTGAAAAAGAAACGATTTCTGTTCTCATTTTCCCCATTAACCAAAACCCTATTAAGTGCGTTAAAAGTGATATTACTAGATCGATGCATAATTAACGTTACATTTTGCTATTTCTTATTTACCTTGCAGGGTAACAATAATTATGTAGCAACCTAATACAAGCCAACCACACCAAACTTCAGTACCACCGAGTCACAAAATACGAGTATCGATATCATTTAATACCTCGGGTAACAATTCAGTTCCTGAAAAGTTATTCGTACCTAAGGACCGGGGTGAAGGTTACTTGAATGAACTCTCGTAAAACAGATTTCTTGGTTCACCGGATGAGGAAGAATCCCGTAAAAAAAAATTCGAGGGTTCCATCCTTTGGAAAAAACCGCAATGCTAACATTGCACTTAGAATTATGAGGAGTTTTCGTTTCACTCGCATATCCGCATATCCGATTTTCGTGACACTTGTGTACTCGTACATCTGATTTTCGTAACGCTCGCGTACTCGCATGTTACATTTTCGTTAGATTCGAACGCTGAGCTGGTACCTCCATATATAAAGAAAATGTAATTCTACGCCAAAAAGAAATCACTACTTCTGATACTTACGAAACGCTTGTACGACGGGATCCCGAACTTCGGGAGGTAGGTCGAGCCATTTCGGTGGAAGAGCCCGGAGTCGCTTGACGCGGGTCTTGGAGTTGGCGTTGTTGAGATTGGGACAACCAGGGAGGGGACAGGCGGTGTACCGACCGCGAACGGCTTTGCATCTGCAGGTGTTGCAAACACGTGCTCCGGGTGCAACCTGATCCTCCCTGAGACCGTACTGACCGGCCTGACTGCGAGATAGCGCTCTGCTCTGCGTTCCTCCTTCGACCACGTTTTGGCAAACCGCACACGCGTGGGGACCCAGCTGTCTCCCGGTCTCTGGAAACGTAACATCAAAAATGCGTAAAATATTCCGCTCATGAAGGGTTTCTTTAAAAAAAATAAAGTATAACGTAGAATGACTTGAGTCAACCTATAGCTTTGATATAGAAATATATATGCCTTTCGGAACCTGTAATATGGATGAGGGAATGATTTATAGCCTCGTCACTGTATTTGCAATTACGTACCGAAGCATATTAACGCTGAAATTTTCGTGCGGATGTGTTTTTGAAAAGTTATGATCTTATCACCGTAATTCTGGTGCCAATTACTGATGTTCTGGATAAGCGTCGAGGCTCGAATTCGAGAAGTCGTCACCGTGTGACCGTCGGCGTTGTGATAAAAATCAAATAACGCGTAAAGCCCAACCGCCGCAAATACATGAGCGATGCTATCACGAAACGTGCGAATTGCAACGTGACAAGGCTGCACCTCGGTGCTATCGAAATCGCTCGAAACCACATTAAAAATGGATGCCCCACTCTCGAGGGCTCAAGTGAAATCGATACTTCACGAAGCCCTGTGTTTTCCACCTTTTTGTACACCGCTGTAGAACAACCAGCTTCTAGAGCACGATATCTGGACTTTGATTTTCGCGTAGACGCAATTGCTCTCGCTAAAACTCATTCTTTATGGATTTGGTAAGAACCTACTTGACTGTAGTGACGATGTTAAGGTAATATGAAAGTGGAGACTGAGATATCTCGTGTGTTAAACTGTTCTCCGGAATGGACGACGCAAATTTTTTGAAATTATACACGAACGTAGAGACCCTAAAGAAGATCCTGTCACCCGTGAAATTTATTTTTTGTTAACTTGTTTATACACGTGTTAATTAAAGAAAAAAAAGTGAAATTTCATAAGTGTCAGGACCTTCCTCAGGGCCTCCATATCAATGTGGTAAAATTGCAAACAATTCGGTTCGTCCAGACCGGATGCCATTTCCATGTCACCTTAACACCAATCGAGTTTAACATCGAAACGAATTCTCAATGAAGACCCGCAGTATGCCATATACGCGAAACACGAATCTTTACAGAATTCTGTAGCAGTTTCCGACAAACCAGTAGTTATTATCCGAAAAGAATTTCACGTCGACGATCATAGGAGATCGCGCCCTCTCTGTAAAATTCTACTCCGTGGAGAGGTTCGCCCGCGTCAACAACGAGCTCGCGGAAACAGAGTTAAATAAATAGGGCTAATCACAGCATCCCCGAGAAAGATGAAGCGTTGGGGGTGGAAGACAGCGGAGAGAGGCGGAAATCTAGGAAGGACCGAAGGGGTGGAGAGGGGAGGACGCTGTGGGAGAGGGGGGGGGCGCGCGGAGTGTACAGACGAGTGGGAAACAGAGTAATTACAGAGGCTCCGCCGGTTAAGTAATTAAGGCTAGCCAATTAAAAAGTTCTCGCTCGGCAAGCGTAGTCGGGACGTACCCGAATGGTACCCGGAACTCACCCGGGCCACCCGGGGTGTATCGTCGTCGCCCCGGCCCCCCGTGTCGGGAGAACTTTGAGCTCGGCACTGATTTTGCCTAACGCGCGCCATAACTCCGCGACCGAGGAGGAGGCAGCGGATCCCGCGCGATTCCGCATTCTCTTTCAATTAATCGACGCCTGGTCCCGTTTCGTTTATTCTTGCTCCGGCCGGTGGGACCGGCGGAGCCCCATCGAGCGAGATTAACTCGGTCGCTATGAATGACTACATGCTGCGCAGACGATTACTCGATCCGTCGATTCTTGCTCTTGATTTCTTTGTTAAGAACGTACGTTCCGTGTCTCCGAAACTTTTGGATGCGCTCGTTATCAGTTTCGATCATTTTTCACCAAATGCCCACGGAAAAAATAGCATTTGCCCTTTTAGTAAAGGACAACATCGGTGATAAATGTTTGCTCTTGCTGCACTAATAAATGCATGTACAGCGAAACTGTTTGCAATTGCATCGAACGTACAGATGTAATCGCAGGAGAACTTCGTTCAGAAAAAAATGCTTGATAAATTAGCAAATGACTTTTTCGAAACAGCCAAAAAGGTATGGTTGCCCTTTCTCAAGCAAATGAGATATGCATATATATAAGTTTTCACGATTATTGTTAACCAAACGCTGCGTAACGCATACTTCGCGAAGAAATATAAATTTCTACTTTAAAAGACGTATTTTTTTATGGGAGATATAGTCTGTATTTTCTTATTTTTAATGAGTTTCAACCACAGAAAATAGCGAGTATCGCATGAATTGAGTAAAAAAGACGATATCCTTGTAGAAATACTGAGGATTTGTGGGAGAGGAAGGAACATGAAGAAAAACTTTAGTAACCGCAACTGGTATTTAGCAGATTTTCAAAACACTGTCGGATGAATTGTTCCCTAAATTCATGGCAGCAATAATTCCCTTCTTGTTTTCTGCAAACTGTTTTGCACGAATTGTCATTCAAAATAATCTACATTGACTCACTATTTTCACAGGTTCCCAAAATTCGGACATTGCTGAAATACGTTTTAGATAACCTGAAACCTCCAGCATTATTCTTATCGCGTTTTTAGTTTCCATTGGATAAATTATAACTTTACGTTTAACCGCAGCGCGATAAACAGCTTGATCCGCTCTTGTGCATTAAATAATGAAATCTACTCTCGACGAGACGTCATTACGCATTCAGCCATGTAGGGGGGTGTAATAGTGTGGAGCATCGTCGATTAACGCTCGGCGGCACCTCGGAAAGGTGAAAGGATTTGCCAAGATGAACGAAAATAAAGTGCAGCGCTGACTAAATCTCCTACTAATTAAGCCGGTACCGCGGAGGAGCAAGGACAAGGGGCTTAGTTTGAATCTTTAATAAGGAGTGCGGAGAGCCCGTCGCCCCTGGCCCGCTGGTACCGTTTCGTCGCGGACATTCCCAGAGAACATGCCCTGGGAATGATGAAGCTTTCACCTTCGACTTCCTTGCACCACGCGACAGCCTTTCGATAATTTTTCGGCTATACTCAGTATTACGATCATTCATAACTCTTATGCACCGCTCTCCTGATTCGGCACTAGGAGTTTTTTCAAAAGTAATTTTATTCCCACTTATTCTAATCGATAAATTTTGTATAAAGTGCCCAGCACTCTAAAAATTAATATTATTCAACAATCACTAAATATTACCCTGTATAAACGTTAATATAATTACCGAATTTAATAGAACTTGTTTTTAGAAGTTTATGTAACAACGCACCCGACACCCGTAAATCAACGAACGTTCTCCTTAATTATTTCGATCCTCATTGACAAGTCTTGCCCACTCAAAAATGGCGGTTCAGGTTTAACTTCCTCTTTATCTGGATGCTGTGCTTCTATTTTTAATACCTTGAACCCTCGATGCCGATAACAGAGGCAGGAGAGGGAAAAGGCGAGGTAGAGAGAGGAACGATAATTGGTCGGAGCTAAAACTCCTGCTAATTACACGTCGCCTATGGAGTCGGATGGAGGAAGAGATTAAAGGAGTAAAATCAGCAATCTAGGGCTGGCCGGGTCCGCTGCGAGTACCGCGACATCAGATATTCTCTTTGGACCGTCGCGACGCGGTGCGGTGTGGCGTGATCCAGTGCGGCATACGGATCAAAATTTCTGTGTAAACGGGTCCTCGCGAATAATTGCACCGCTACAGAGTTGCAAAGTGGATCGACCAAAAGCTCAACGAAAACGAAATATCGTCCGACGAAGAGGGGAGCCTCGTACGCCATTCCTTTTAACTCGGAAAGGGGAACAGCGGGGTCAAATGCGTGCGCACGCGTACACGCAGACGCGATCGCCAAAGCGGAGGGGTAGAAGGGGAATCGTTACGGTGGTTAGTTCGTTTGTTCGTTAGCTTGCCTGGAGCGAGGCAAGCGTTTTTCTATTTATATATTTATGAGATTTGTGTTTCGCTAAGCAAAAATGATTAAAGGCAAACAAGACTGTATTTCCGTCCCCTTCGCTCCCGCTCTCCCTGCCCCCGGTATCTATGTATTATCTAGCAGCCTTCGGCTCTTCTCTATGACCTATGCTGTATTCGATATCTCTTGATTAAAATACTTTGATCGTACATATCGTTGTGCTCTTGTAGGACACCGGTTCCACCCAGTAAAAGCTACCATTTGAAATATATTGTGTATTGACTTTACCACACAAATTGCTTTGTACAAAAGATATTTTTTATATCAAAATCGCAGTTATAAAAAAAAAAAGATCGAATTACTTCCATTCGACGAGCCCCATCGAATATATCTTTTGTGAAACGTTTTGTAACAAAATCAATACGTAATAAGATATTTCAGATGTCACATCCCAGATCCTATACTGTCTTAAAAAGAGAAGAAAGAAGTTTTAAAAAAAATCTTCAACTTTAAAATTCCTAGCAATCATAGGCGTAAATTAGAACAGTTAAAGTGCCTCGTGGTAAGATTGTCCGCAGCGACGTTGTAGAATGAAAAAGGGAGTCGCTTTTTTTAGCGACTCCAAATTACAATTATCAATTGGCTTTGATGCTACCGACCCACCACGATGGGGAACGCTGTGCAAACGAGCGATCGTTACGATACTACGGCTGATTGCTGTAGCGGTATTATGGCGTGCGTACGCGTGTGCGTATGTAAATAACATCTGTCGATTACGGCTACGGTTCCGCAGTGCGTTGCAAGGGGCAAGAGGGATCACTGGGAAATACATTATGTCAATTTACCCATTTGGACGAAACTTTCGTTGGAGTGTTTCCGAATTGACAGAAATGACAATTACGGCGATACGACGCGTGACAGGAACACCGGTAACAATCACGGGAATAAAATTTTAAACGTGTCGGTAAAATATTTTAATCCGTCATTGTTTCACCGGGCACAAAGTAACGGTGAAATTAAAACAAGAGAAAAAGCGAAATCCGTTAGTCGAACCGGAAAGATTGAAATCTCTCCGACACGTCTACCTGTCATAGATTCACGCGAGTTTGTGAAACCATCAATTCGAAATCTACCCGATCGTT